GGGGGTAGGAGAGTTTCAGTGGGGGGGAAATTTAAAAAGGGGTTAAAACTGGAGTATTGAGAGAGTTTTGAGCAAAGGAAGGGGTTTGCCCCCGGAATGTTAAAAGATCAGTTTGGAAAGGAGAAAAGGGGAATTTTGAATGTGTAAATTCAAGTTTTATGTGGATTAAAATAAGAAAAACCCTGGAAAAAAATGGTTTTGTCATTAAAAATAAGAGGAGAGAAAAAGGGGAATTAGGGATTGGGGAAGATGAAGGGAATTTTTGAAAGGAAAGTTAGAAGAAAAGGGAAAATTTCTTTTATAGGGGGGGAAAACACGGGGGGAAAGAACCCGTTGGGGTGTGGGGAAACAATGGAAAAAATGGGGGGGTGGGGCCCCGGGTTTGTATAAAAAAAATTTTAAAAGGGGGGGGATTATTTTATTTTGGTCCATTAAAAAATGATTAAATTTAAATACCTGGGGTTCCATCCCTGTTTTTTTTTTTAAAAGGCGGGGGGATAAAAGATTCTTAAGGGGGAAAGTTGTTGAGGCCCCTTAAAAAGGGGATGGTAAAATTTTTGAAAAAAAAATAAAAGGAGAAAGGGGAACAATAAAAAGGGGCTTAAAAAGGTGGGGGGTGGGACCGGGTGTTTCTAAAAATATAATGAAAAGATTGATGGCTTAAGGGCGGGGAAGGTTTGGAAAAAGGCTTTTGAAGGGGGGGTTTAGGGGGAATTGGAAGTTGCAAGGAGGGTGGGAGGTGGTTATAAAACAGTGGAGTTTTAAGGGGGGTATGAGGTAATTAGATTATGTGGAAAGAGGGTTTTTATAAAAAGAGGGAAAAGGTTTTTGCACCGGGGAATAAAAGGGGGGTTGAAGGGAAGTAAATGGGGGTTTTTTGGGAAAGGGGGGAGAAAAAGAAAAGATAACAAAGTGGGAGTTTTTAAGGTTTTGTGGTATTGCGGGGAGTTTAAAAGAAAGGGGGTTTGGGGGAATGAATTTGGAGGGTTGAAAAGAAAAAATTAAAGGAAAAGGAAAAGAAAAGGTTTGGGTTCGATTAGGGAGTTTTTAAAAAATTTTAGTTGGGGGGAAATTTGGAGGGGTAAGATTCAGATTTTGGGGAGGCCCCCGTTCCGGATTCTAGGGAAAATGAGGTAAATAAAAAGATAGGGAAAAAAGGGGAGGAGGGTGAAGGGTTTTAAACAAAGAATTTTTTTGGAGGAAAAGGGAGTAGAGGTTGTTTTACCAAGTCAATATGGGTGTAATGGGTGTGTTTTGCAGGGGGAGGGTAGGAGTGGGTTCAGGTTGGGGAAGTTGGGGGAAATTTAAATGAAGGGAATTTGTAGGAATATAGGGGGAAAAGGGGGGAAAAAAATTTTCCCGGGAGGGGTGAGGAAGGGGTTGGGGGGGGAAAAATTTAGAGAATGGGGAACAAATGTTTTAAAGAGGACATTTTAGGGGGGGGGGGGGGTATGGTGGGAAGGGGTTGGAGGAGGGGGTAAAGGGAGTTTGGGCAGGGGTTGGGATTAAGGGGGGAGGTTTTATGGAAAGTAATGGGGAAATGGAAATATTGGGGTTGTTAAAGGGTTGAGAAAGAACATTTTGGGGTTTTAGGGAAAAAGGGGGGACATCTGGGGAGGGAGAAAGTGGCATTGAAGGGGGGGAATTTTTTTGGGCTTTTTAAAAACGGGAAAAAGACCTTTTGGAAAAGTGGGGGTAAAAAGGTTTGGGAAAGTTTTTTTTTTGGGGCCCCCTTTTTTTTTGGGAAGGGGGTATAAAAAAAAAAAAAAGTTTTGGATGTCCTGGTAAAGGGGGGGGTTTTAAAATTTTGAAAAATTTAAAGGAAAAGAGGGGGAAAGGAAGGATGAAAGGGGTTTAAAAAGGGAGGGGGGTGGACGGGTTTTTTACAGTGAAACAAGGGAAAAGTTTTAGAAAGGTGGTTTGTGGTTTTAGGTTTTGGAAAAGGGGTTGAAGGGTAAGGGGGGTTTGTGGCAATTTTAAAAAGGTTTTATGGGTGGAGGGGATGAAAGATTTTGAAGGTTTTTAGGAGGTGTAGGAAGGGGTTGGTTTAGGAAAGGGGAAATTTTTTAGAAAAGGGGAAATTAGAAAAGGAGGTTAGCAGTGGTTTTTTAATTTTTAATTTTAAAAGAGGTAAGGAGGGGGGCAAGGGGTGGGGGGGAAAAAAAAGTAAAAATAAAACACAAAATGGGGTTGTCACAGCTGTCTTTGGATGACACTGTGGCTCTTGGGAGATTCTAAAGAAAAGTTCAGAGATTGGGGTGAAAATTTGGTAGGGTGTGCAAAAGAAGAAAATTAAAGGTGAATACAGGAAGGAAAGGGTTATGAGGATAACAAAAAGTTAGGTGATGAAAGATTAAATATCGATTGGAGGGAGAGAGTATGGGGGAGGTGAACGTTTTCAGATATTTGGGAGTGGAGTGTCAGCGGATGGGTCTATGAAAGAGAGGTGAAACATAGAATTGATGAGGGAAAAGAGTGAGTGGGGCACTTGGAGTCTGTGGAACAAAAAACTTTGTCCTTTGGGGGCAAAGAGGGGGTGTATGAGAGTATAGTTTTACCAACGCTCTTTTAGGGTGTGAAGCGTGGGTGATGAATGTTGCAGCGAGGGAAGGCTGGAGGCAGTGGGGAGTTGTCTGAGGGCAATTTTGTGGGGTGAATATAAAGAGGAATTGTAGTTTTGGAAGTTAGGGGAGGTGCGGGATTACAAAATGTTGTCCCGAGGGGTGAGGAAGGGTTGTTGGGGGTGGTTGGAATGTGAGGAATGGGGCGAAACAGAATGACTTTAAAAGGGGTATCAGTCTTAGTGGAAGGAAAAGGGGGGTAGGGGGGCGGCCTAGGAGGGTTGGAGGGGGGGGGGTAAAGGGGTTTTGTGTGCGAGGGGCTTGGACTTCCAGCAGGCGGTGAGGGTTATTTGGGGGAATGGAGACAAATGGTTTTTTAAAACTTTCGTGCTGTTGGAGTGTGAGCAAAGTAACATTTATGAAGGGGGTTCAGGGAAACCGGCAGGCCGGACTTGAGTCCCGGAGTGGGAAGTACAGTGCCTGCATCTGAAGGAGGGGGGGGTTAAGTTGCAGTTTAAAAAAAATGTAGGTAAAAACACCCTTTGGCAAGACAGTGTGGGTGAATGTGGTGAAGTTTTTCTTTTTGGGACCCCGCCTGGTGGGAATCGGCCGGGTGTTTTTTAATAAAAAAAAAAAAAATAAAAAAAATTGGAAAAATGGAAATTGGGAAAAAGTTGATGGTTTAAAAAGGTTTATTTGAAAGAATTAGTAAGAAAAGGGGGGGAATGATTTTTTTTTTTTTAAAAACAAGGAAAACCCTTTTGAAAGGTAGGTTTTGAACCAGTGTTTACAGTTTTTTAATTTAAAATGAAATTTAGAAAAATAAAAAAAATTTTTCCAAATTTTAAAAAAAGGAAAAGGCCCTGGTAAGCATTGATTTTTGGGGATTCAGGGTTTTCAATATGTGTTGTTATAACTGTAAGATTTTTTACCGAATAAAAAACCCAAATTTTAAAAAAGTTTGAAAAAGGGAAATTAAAAAAAAATTTTGGCCTTAAAAAATTTTGGGATTGTCCCCTGGTTTTTTTTTTTTTTTAAATTTGAAAAAAAAACGGGGATTAAGTGAGTAAAAAATTTAAAAGTATCAACTCAAGTTTGGGGGGGATTGGACACGCTTTTTCTTTACTTTGCTTGGAAAAAAAATTTTTTCATTTGGTAATTGGTAATTTTGTGAAAAAAAAAAATTTTAAATTTTTTTTAATTGGAAAAAGGGGAAGGTAAATTAAAAAATACAAAAAATTTTGGGTGGTTTAAACCAAAAAAAAAGTTTTTTTTTTTAAGAGTTCGATTTTTTTACCTGAATGAACCGAATTTTTTTATAAAGAGGTGATTTTTTAAATTTGAAGGGGGAAAAAAGAAATTTGTGGCCCCGGGTTGGGTTTGTTTCCCACCCCAAAGGGAAAAGGGGTTTTTGAGGCAAAAAAAATTAGGGGTAAAATAGGTTTTACAAAGTCTAAATGGGGGAAAATTATTAAAAAAAATTTCACAGAAAAGTTTTTTATATTGTATTTGTCAACAAATCTGGTCATTTTTTTTTATCAAGAATTTAAAAATTCAATTACTGTAGGACTTAAAGGCTGAGGACACAATAAAAATGTCAATATTCCCATGCCCATTCCTACTTTAAATAAGAAAAAACTTGAGGTGTGAAGCACGGGTGGTGAATGTTGCAACAACGAGAAGGATGGAGGCAGTGGAGATGTTTCTGAGGACAACATGTGATGTGAATATAATGCAGAGAATCTGTAGTCTGATGATCAGGACGAGGTGCGGGTTACTAAAAGTATTATCCAGAGGGCTGAAGAGGGGTTGTTGAGGTGGTTCGGACATACAGAGAGGCTGGAATACAACGGAATGACTTGGAGAGCGTTTAAATCTGTAGTGGAAGGAAGGAGTGGTAGGGGTTGTCCTAGGAGAGGTTGGAGGGAAGGGGTAAAGGAGGTTTCGTGTGAGAGAAGATTAGACTTCCAGCAAGAATGCGTAAGCATGTTAGGTAGGAGCGAGTGGCGGCAAATGGTTTTTATGACTTGACGTGCTGTTGGAGTGTGAGCAAAGTAACATTTATGAAAGGATTCAGGAAAAGTGGTTGGCCAGACTTGAGTTCTGGAGGTGGGAAGTACAGTGACTGCACTCTGAAGGAGGGGTGAAGATATGTTGCAGTTTTTGAACTATAGTGTCGGCATGTCTGTGGCAAGGCAGTGATGGAGTGAGTGATGATAAAAAATGTTTCTTCTTTGTCTGACTGCCCTACCTTGGTGGGAAATGGCCAAAGTGTTAATAAAAAATAATAATGTTAGTTACTGTTGTTTTTACATGCTCACTGTTATAAATTATTTTTTACTATACTATACAAAATGTTGAATTTACCCTTACTACCCCACAATTGTATACTATCAAAGTAAACTGCAATGAAGAGCAAGCATAAAAACGCCAACATACTTTGCCATGAGACGAGCAAGTTCACAGAAGTCCTCATCTGTCCATGGACCCCCAGTGATCACTGGTATTGAAGTAGCAACAGGCTTAATGCGCCTCGCACCCTGTAAGTAGAACTGGTGCTATAGCAAACGTATGAACAACTATGTAATACAATCACAAACAGGTGCTCTTAACAATGCAGAACACGCCACATGGAGATGGAAATCTTTAGCTTTAGATCCTTCATACTTAAATAACAAAAAGGCACAATACCGTGACTGGAACGATACACAAATAACCCGCACATAAAAGAGAGATATATACATTTCTTGTACTACTACTACTACTACTACTACTACTACTACTACTACTACTACTACTACTACTACTACCTCCACCTCTTCCTGCCTATATATAGCCGTCCTGCTCCACCTCTGTTAGTGTGACTTTGTCAATGGTCCAAGTCGGACCGAAACGTCGCCATAAGCTTCTCTCTTTTATGTGCGGGTTATTTGTGTATCCTTCATACTCTTAGTGTGTCATCAGGAGCTATGCAATGTTGCAAGACAGCAACAGACAGGAGGGAAAATTCTGAGGTAAGGCAGAGGGTATCAATGGTGACCCATGACACTGCGTCATGGCTGCCACTGATACCTTCTGCGCTGCCTCAGAGAATTTCCCTCCAATCTGTTGCTGTTTTGCAACACAGCATAGCTCCTGACGACACATGAGAGTGCAAAAGATCTAGAGCTAAAGATTTCCATCCTCATGTGGCTTGATCTGCAATGCATATCTATGCATTAACATAGCAAGGGAAAAACTAGTATTACTGCAGTTTGAAGGAAGCACTAAACACATAAGGGTCATGCAATGTAGCATAGGGAATGGAAGGCAATCAGGTTTAATCCAAGAAAGAGGACAGGTCACTTCCTTGGATCAAAAGCCACTCACTAGTACCAAGGCACCTCGTCGAGGGGTGCAAGGAATAAAATAATGGAATGTAAGCAAGTACACACACATATACATTTAAAAGTACAAGTAAAAAAAAAAGAGGAATTACGTTGTTCATAAACAAATAACTAAAAAAAACAAGGACAGAGATTCAACAATAACTGACATCCACACAACATTTTTTTTTTTTTTTTTTTTATTATCACACTGGCCGATTCCCACCAAGGCAGGGTGGCCCGAAAAAGAAAAACTTTCACCATCATTCACTCCATCACTGTCTTGCCAGAAGGGTGCTTTACACTACAGTTTTTAAACTGCAACATTAACACCCCTCCTTCAGAGTGCAGGCACTGTACTTCCCATCTCCAGGACTCAAGTCCGGCCTGCCGGTTTCCCTGAATCCCTTCATAAATGTTACTTTGCTCACACTCCAACAGCACGTCAAGTATTAAAAACCATTTGTCTCCATTCACTCCTATCAAACACGCTCACGCATGCCTGCTGGAAGTCCAAGCCCCTCGCATGCAAAACCTCCTTTACCCCCTCCCTCCAACCCTTCCTAGGCCGACCCCTACCCCGCCTTCCTTCCACTACAGACTGATACACTCTTGAAGTCATTCTGTTTCGCTCCATTCTCTCTACATGTCCGAACCACCTCAACAACCGTTCCTCAGCCCTCTGGACAACAGTTTTGGTAATCCCGCACCTCCTCCTAACTTCCAAACTACGAATTCTCTGCACTACATTCACACCACACACTGCCCCCAGACACGACATCTCCACCGCCTCCAGCCCCCTCCTCGCTGCAACACTCATCACCCACGCTTCACACCCATATAAGAGCGTTGGTAAAACTATACTCTCATACATTCCCCTCTTTGCCTCCAAGGACAAAGTTCTTTGTCTCCACAGACTCCCAAGTGCACCACTCACTCTTTTTCCCTCATCAATTCTATGATTCACCTCATCTTTCATAGACCCATCCGCTGACACGTCCACTCCCAAATATCTGAATACGTTCACCTCCTCCATACTCTCCCCCTCCAATCTGATATTCAATCTTTCATCACCCAATCTTTTTGTTATCCTCATAACCTTACTCTTTCCTGTATTCACCTTTAATTTTCTTCTTTTGCACACCCTACCAAATTCATCCACCAATCTCTGCAACTTCTCTTCAGAATCTCCCAAGAGCACAGTGTCATCAGCAAAGAGCAGCTGTGACAACTCCCACTTTGTGTGTGATTCTTTATCTTTTAACTCCACGCCTCTTGCCAAGACCCTCGCATTTACTTCTCTTACAACCCCATCTATAAATATATTAAACAACCACGGTGACATCACACATCCTTGTCTACACAACATATTAATATTAATTACAGTAATGTATTCCCCAATCTGTGGAGTATTAGTTATGATCTTACTGTTTAGATTGTATTATCTATTGAGAAGAGAATGTTACAGTCTTTGACACATTCAACCTTTGTGGTACAGTGCATTAGATCTAAAAATGCACAACTAGGCAATGACTTAAAATGTAAAGTCCTACCAAGGAGGTCACTTTCCTACAGGTGTTTGATTAACAGAAGTACAGGTAAATGCTTGATTTAATGAATTTCAGACATACAGGATGAAATCTGCTTGGTCACTTGATTCAGAAACAAAGAACATAGTTCACTGCTTACAGATCTGTCTGTTATTATTACGATGACAGCAAAACATCATTTCTACCTGCCACAATGGCCACTACCTGCCACAATGGTCACTACCTGCTACACACTCCTTCCTAATTCATCTCAATTAAAATTGAGGGTTTAATGTATAAAAAATACAAGTGCTCGTCTCCTAACGATGGGGTTGCATTCTGATGAAACCGCCCTAAGTCTAATTTGAGTCTTCTTCTTTCAACAAACTGGCTGTATCCCACTGAGGCAGGGTGGTCCAAAAAAAAAAAAAACGAAAGACTCTCTTTTTAAATTAAGTAATGTATACAGGAGAAGGGGGTTACTAGCCCCTTGCTCCCAGCATTTTAGTCACCTCTTATGACATGCATGACTTACCGAGGAAGAATTCTGTTCCACTTCCCCATGGAGAATGAATATAAATATATGCTAAATAAATACAGTGGACCCTTGAGTTTGGAACGTACCGATTATCAAACTTTTCAAGTTTCAACCGCTCTTTTCAAACCAATTTTGTTCCGAGTATCGAACTCTACCCGTCTTTCGAACCGCCAGGTACCAGACCTGTCCACCAGCCTGCTCTGTCCACATCCCTGTGCAGGCATTGTGAGCAGTCTGGCTTTGTTGATGCTTGAGTGAACACTAACCCACATGCTCATTCAAACATTTCACTATTAATTCATAGTGTTTAGTGCTTGTGCGACTGTGAAATAAGCTACCATGGGCCCAAAGAAACTTGCTAGTGGTACCCCTGTGGAAAAGAAATTGAGAAACACCATAGATGTGAAGACAGAAATAATACAAAAATATGAGAGCAGTGTGAGACTTGTTGAGCTTGCCAGGATGTACGGCAAAAAACAAGTCAACTATCGCTTCTATCCTGGCAAAGAAAGAACAAATCAAGGAAGCTGATGTTGCGGAAGGTGTTGATATGTTAACCAAAAATAGACCACAGACAGTCAATCAGGTTGAGAAGTTGTTGCTGGTGAAGAACAAGGATAAGGAGATAGCAGGTGATATTGTTTCGGGGACAATTATTTGTGAAAATTCAAGGAAGTTGCATGCCAACCTGGTAAAAAAAACTCCTGGAACCAGTGAATTTAAGGCCAGCAAAGGCTGGTTTGAAAGATTTAAGAAGTGTAGTGGCATACACAATGTTGTAAGGCATGGTGAAGCAGCCAGTTCAGACAAATGGGCAGCTGAGAAGTTTGTACAGGAGTTTAAGGGGTACCTGGAGAGAGTTCCGGGGGTCAACGCCCCCGCGGCCCGGTCTGTGACTAGGCCTCCTGAAAAATTCAAACCCCAACAAGTGTTCAATTGTGACGAAACAGGCCTGTTTTGGAAGAAAATGCCAAAGAGGACCTACATTACTCAGGAGGAGAAGGCACTTCCAGGACACAAGCTTACAGGCTTACTCTTTTGTTGTGTGCTAATGCTAGTGGTGATTTTAAAGTGAAGCCTTTACTTGTGTATCATTCAGAAAATCCCAGTGTGTTTAAGAAAAACAATGTCATTAAGAACAAGTTATGTGTCTTGTGGAAAGCTAATAATAAGGCATGAGTCACAAAGCAAATTTTCAAAGAGTGGGTCCATGAAGTGTTTGGCCCCAGTGTGAGAAAGTACTTCTTGGAAAATAATTTGCCACTCAAGTGCCTCCTGGTAATGGACAATGCTCCTGCTCATCCTCCAAACTTGGTAGACCTCCTGTCTAGGGACTCCAGTTTCATCACAGTGAAGTTGCTGCCTCCTAGCACCACTCCTCTCCTCCAGCCCATGGACCAGCAGGTCATTTCTAACTTCAAAAAACTCTACACAAAAGCAGTGTTTGAAAAGTGCTTTGAAGTGACCACAGACACTAAGTTGATCCTAAGAGAGTTCTGGAGGAATCACTTCAATATTTACAGCTCCATAAGCTTTATAGGTAAGACTTGGGAGGGAGTGACTTCCAGGACTTTGAACTCTGCTTGGAGACAATTGTGGCCAGATTGTGTCCAAAAGAGGGATTTTGAAGGGTTTGAGGCTGACCCTGACCCAGCTGACCCTCTGCCTGTTGTGGACTCTATTGTGGCATTGGGGAACACCCTGGGGCTGGAGGTGAGTGGCAAGGATGTAGAAGAGTTGGTGGACAAACACAGGGAAGAGCTAACCACTGAAGAGCTTGAAGAGCTTCATCTGGAACAACATCAGACCACAGCTCGGGAACTTGCTTCAGAGGAGGAAGAGGGAGTGGAGGAGGTGCTTTCTTCAGTGATTAAGGACATGAGTGCAAAGTGGAATGAGTTGCAAACTTTCGTTGAAAAGTATCACCATGACCAAGCTGAAACAAGCCATCTCTGCAGCAAGTTCAGTGACAGAACCATGTCCCACTTCAGGGAAATGTTAAAGAGGCGCCAGAAACAGAGGACTGTAGAGGTCCACTGACTCTCAAGCTGGTCCTAGTGGCATTACAAGACAGAGAAGGGAAGTAACCCCAGGGAAGGCTGTAATGC